ATAATATAATTAATTTGATAATATAATTAATTTGGTAATATATAATTAATTTGATAATATAATTAATTTGATAATATAATTAATTTGATAATATAATTAAATTTGATAATATAATTAATTTGATAATATAATTAAATTTGATAATATAATTAATTTGATTAATATAATTAATTTGATAATATAATTAATTTGATAAATATAATTAATTTGATAATATATAATTAATTTGATAATATAATTAATTTGATAATATAATTAATTTGATAATATAATTAATTTGATAATATAATTAATTTCGATAATATAATTAATTTGATAATATAATTAATTTGATAATATAATTAATTTGATAATATAATTAATTTGATAAAATATATAAAGAAATTTTAAATATTTATAAAGAAATAATATAAAAAGGAATAATAAATTTCTTATTTATATGATTTTCTTATCAGATTTTAAATATTCATATTTATATAAATAATCGACGAAAATTATATAAAAATAATGATAATATAAATAAAAGAATATAAATTCTAATAGAGATTGGAATCATATTTTGATTATAAATATTAAATCATTTAGAAAGATTATAATATAATTTGGGAATCTGATTTCCATAAATAATATGAATGAATTAGATAATAAGGATTAAAGAAAATATATTTAGTAAGTTCATCGATTATGAAATTTTTTCAAGATAATATTCAAGGATTAAGAGAATCAATATTTATAGGAATTATTTTTAATTAGATAATATTCATTCGGCGGATTATATTTCATAATCTCGTTCTTCGATCTTAACGATTATTATTATCTTATTTGAAAAATAATTCTTGGATTTCTTTTTAATAATTTCCGGCCTATAATTCTCTCTTGTTTCGCATAATATTCTTCTTAAAGCTCCCATAATTCTTGTGTCCGTTTTATAGGTCGTTATTCATTCCCTCAATTTAAATCTATTCTTCCGAAATTATCATCGAGATTTATATCATTCTCTTATATTTTAGTTCCATTATATATGGATTAAATAATCTTTAATATTTGAGAGTTAAGTATAAATATATCTTCAATCCATAAAATAATAATCTATTTCTTTGATTAAGAAGAAAAGAATTTTGATTTCCGTTTGGTTTAATTAATATAATAGTTTAATTAATATAATAGTTTACTTTATATTTTAGTATAACTATATACTAAAAAGAATTAATTCTAAATTAGATCTAATTTTATTAAATATATAAATCTTTATTAATCTAATAAATTTCTAAAATAAAACTTATTTCTTTTATTTTAATTTTAAACTATAATAAAAAGATATAATAAGTTTCTATTATATTTTACTTTTATAATTTAGTAAAGAAATAGCAAATTCTAGTATTTCTTTTATTTTAATTTTAAATTATAATAAGAAAATATAATAGATATCTATTATATTTTACTTTTATAATTTAGTAAAAAAATAGTAAATTCTAGTATTTCTTTTATTCTTACTTTAAACTATAATAGAACGATATAATAAATATTTATTATATTTTACTCTTATAGTTTAGTAAAAAAATAATAAATCCTAGTATTTCTTTTATTTTAATTTTAAATTATAATAGGAAAATATAATAAGTATTTATTATATTTTACTCTTATATTTTAGTAAAAGAATAATAGATTCTAGTTATAATAGCGGGATTAATATAATAGTTAAAGGCTTAAAGTTTAATAAATTTCATATATTAAAAATACTAAACTAGAAAATAAAGAAAAAAGAATTACTTTAACTTTTTAGTATTCTCTTATTTAAGTATTTCGGTTTAGCTTTATTTTATACTTATTTCTAATTTCCTATTTCTAGTAAATTATATTATTATATTAGCTATTATATAAATACTAGTAAATTTGCTTTAAACTATAATAAGAAAATAAAATAAGTATTTATTATATTTTAGTAAAGTAATAGCTTTAATTATTTTTAAAATAAAGATTTTATTTTTATTTAAAGAAAATATTATATTTATATTATTAAATTATAGGTATTTATATATAAATATATTATAAATAAAGCTAGCTATACTAAGAACTATATTATATTTATATATAAGAATACTAATTACTTTAATTTAGTAGTAAATCTATATAGTTATATAACTTTATATAATTAGCTAGCTATAAAAAAGCTCTAAAGCCGGAAATTTATAAAGAATCTTAAAGGCTTTAGGATATCCGAATTATTACTAATATCTGGTATTTTTTAGAGAAAGAATATAATATATTTTATAATAAGTAATTTATTATAGATTACTTAACCTTTAAATTAAGTAGGAAATCTAAAGGCCAGGCTTATAATTCAAGTTTTATTAAGATTATTAAAGTCTTTATTAGCTAATATTATAGATTTAATATTATTATAGGAATTCTATAGGTTTTATTCTAATTTATTTAGAAAGTATATATAATATATTTTCTTATTTATTCTAATATTTATATATGATTTCTAAGAGCTAAACTATTATCTAAAAAAGAAATAAAAAGGCTAGACTAATATCTTTAAAAACTAAAGCTTTAATAAGTTTATCTAGAAAAGCTTACTAATTCTTCTAAAAATAACTCAAGCTTTAATAAGCCAGAAAATTTTGAATTTATTATATATTATAACTTATATAATTAGAAATAGAAACTTGAATTTATTATATATTATAACTTATATAACTAGAAATAGGAACTTGAGTTTATTATATAAAATTACCTATATATAAAAACTTCTATTATAAACTTCTTATTTAGATTAATTAATTAAACTTATTTTTAATACTAAGTTTTTCTTAAAGTAATTTCCTATTTTTAGAAGCTTTAGATAAAGTAGCTAATAAGTTTCTTAGCTATTAGCTAAGACTTATTAGCTAGAAAATCTTATAAATAATAAATAAGATTATAAAGCAGAACTTTTCTAACTATAATACTAATATATTTTACTATTTTATAAGATAATTAGATATAAAAGCCCTATTAAATATAATATATTTCGAGCTATAAATAATATCTTATAAGATATAGAAAGAGTTTTAGTATTTAACTAGTACTATAATCTAGTCTAAAGATATTTATTATTCTTTATATTTAATTTAATAGAAATAAGAAATACCTATATTTTAATTCGAGAAATAATTAGAACTTTTATATAGACTTAGAATAGTAGTTTGCTTTATAGAAAAAAAATAGACTAGAATTACTTATATTATATTAATTTTTAAAAAGGCTTATAATAAATACTATAACTTCTAAAATACTTTCGAGAAAGCTTCCTTAAACTAAAGTAAACTAGTTTATAATCTCGAAAAATCTATAGAAGTTTTATATATCCGAAAATACAAGTATTTAAAATAAATATTATTTGAATTCTAATCTATAATAAAAGAAAAATAAAGTATATAAAGTAAAAGTAAAATAAAATATTCGGGTATTTAATAAATAAAAAGCCTAATTATAGATTATAAGAACTAGTACTAACTAGATATATATATAATAAAATTAAAAATAATAATAAAGTAAAATAAGAGAAACTAAAAAATAAGTTAATATATAGTTTATAAAAATAAATAAAAAGATATCTAAATAGCCTAAAAATAAGATATATATTAAAGAAATCAAAATTAAAAAAAGTAAGACTATTTCCTA